GAATGGTTGTTGGAGAAACCAATATTTTCGAACAAACCAGAACGATATCATGTTCCGCACGGTGGCATACTTCTGCTCTGATGTCCCCATTCCTCCTGAAACCTCAGAATTGAAATAAACAAGCAGCTATGTTTTTTGGAGAAAAGTTTAACAAAATTCTTCATGTGACACAATGGACGATGCGAATAACTAAAAAATTCGCGCAGAAGGTCGCGAATATCCAAAGAGGCATTATTTTTTAGACGTTGCTTGTCTTCCAAACTTTAAAGCACACAGCTATGATGGTTTAATAATTAGTTTTTCAAAAGATTCATCAATTATTGGGTTGTTGGACAAGGTAATAATGTTCTTTTAACAAATACAGAAAAAAAAATCCAGAAAGAAACCAAGAATCGACAGTTGTGTCTTTTGAAAGAAGAAGTCTCGTTTTTTCTAAACGATGGTAAATATGCTTGGCCTATCAGCTAAAACAGAAGAGATTCAATTTGAAACTTGAAAGGTAAGGTTCAACCGGCAGTTTGATTTTTCTGGAAAGCGGAGCACGAAAATTGCTATAAAGATATGTGATGGGGTAATCGGATATGCTGAATACAAAAATTGCATTCTTCTCGACTAGACCTGTAGGATTGAGGTCTAGAGTACGGGATTATGCTTTTAGATATGTTAGTGCAGAAAGTCACAATCGGCAATTATTCTGGAAAGTGGTGGATTCACTTTACTGCCAAGTGTGAAATCAAGTAAAGTTCTTAAGGCAAAACAGTTGCGCAGAGACAAGGGATTACCCAAACTACGCTTTTAGACAAATAGATGATTTGCATCTCCATCGTTACTGCTTTAATCTTACAGTAGGGATGTATTGCGTGATGTATATATGACTTTCGCAATCAGCATGTCAATGAACACAAATAGGACTTTTAGGCAAATCAGGGTATAACAGTGTATTTATCCCTTTCATCTTTTATCTACAATTTTTAGATTGATAGAAATCATCAAATTTCGCGTAAGCATGACCAGTAGCTCAATAGGAAATGTCGTAGCAATTTTCAAACTTCTTTCATTCTAGAAAAATTACGCTGTCGCGCTTTTTTGGCTCTCTAAATTTTTAGTTTCTTCTAGCAAAACAGACTGGCTTATTCAGATGCTTTTCAGATTTTTCTTCTGTAAATCCTGTGTTTTTTGAATTTTAACATGTTCGCAAAACCTTGGGTTTCTTTGAGTTTTAAAGAAACAGCACGAACATATCCGACGACCAAATACTTCAGATATTCTCTAGCTTCCGTATATGCTATAAATGTAAACATTAAGAGAGAGAGAGAGAGATGATTGATGATATCTTCTACGGCAGTGCATTAAAAAGTGCCATCTTTTTAGATGA